TTTTTTTTGGCACGTGCCCCTAGCGGGAACCGAACCTGGGTCTCTCTGGTCTGCAGGCCAATGTTCCAACCTCTGAGCCAAACCGGTCAGGGCTGATTGATTTTTTTTTAGTGTGTGTGTGTGTGTGTGTGTGTGTGTGTATATATATTTTTTTATCCTCACCCAAGGACATTTTTGCATTTATCTTGAGACAGAGAGAGAAGGAGAAAGAAAGAGAGAGAGAGAGAGAAGCATCGATGTGAGAGAGATACATCGACTGGTTGCCACCCACACGACCCCAACCATGGCCGGGGACAAACTGCACCCGAGGTACGTGCCCTTAGCGGGAACAGAACCAAGGCCTATCTGGTCCACAGGCTGATGCTCTAACCGCTGAGCTAAACCACCCAGGGCAATGGGTATATTTTGACACCTACAAAAAGCCTGAGAATGGACCACAGCCACTCTATCAATATTCTACAAACTCCCCTGGCAGCAGCCTCTTGGTTTGATCAACTTAATGATTCATTTATAGTTGTAATGATATTTTTCAGTTGTATGCCTATGTGTACTTAAAAAGGACAAAAATAAGTTTGAGGGGGGAAAAACATTTTAATTGTTTTCAAATGTTCCAATAAAACTCAAACCCATGCTCTCTTGCTCAAGAATTTCCTCGCCAGATTATTACATACTTGCTTGCCAAATCTCTCTAGCTTTCTCCTGTTTTCTTAATCTTAGGAATTACAGACAATATTAAGGGTTGCTGGCTGGTCAGAACATGTAAATGTTTTCAAAAGGCTTTTAAACATTCAAATGTCATAGGAAGGGATGAAAAAAAAATCAGATCTCCACTCTTAAAAACAACTAAAAATTTATGAGTCAGAAAAATAGCAAAATAATCTTAAGAACCCCCCCCCAAAAAGGTGTTTTTTTTGGGGGGGGGCATTCATGTTTAAATAACCATTTGTTATCTTCAACTGTAGTTCCTACTGAGAACATCCTAACAAACGGCCGGCTGGTCTGTGACTAAGGAAATACTCTAACTTATGATCCACTGATAGGAGGAGAAATATCAACAAGGCCAGGAGGTCACTATCTAACAGACTGTGGCACCAGAGCAGGCCCAGCTCGAGGGTGAAGGAAGAAGTAAGTGGTGGTTTTGCCTAAACCATGACCAGTCTGCTAAGATTAGTTCAGTCCACTGAACACCAGGGGGGCACCGTGCTCACCGGGTTCCATGTAGACTGAATATAGCGGGATTACTGTGGATGGTGTTGTCCCGTGTTCAGAGCGGAAGCTCTGAATTGTTACAGGTGAAATCCCAGCATTTCCCTGACGGATTTGCAGTGTTTTGCGCGGTACTTGAAAACTAGGAAAGACACAGCATCTTTAGTAACTGGGAAACGTGAAGAGAAGAGCAGAAATCGTTTTCTAATCGACAGAAATGGGAGGAAACAAACCTTCAGAGTGAATTCAAATTCCATCTTTTTGTCACAAGCCAAACTCTCTGAGACGCGAATGCTATCCCCCAAATATTCATAGCAACGATTTTACTTCAATCTTGATTTCTTTGAAGGTGGAAGAAAACTCAGCTTTTTGGGGTTCAGGATCATATCTTACGATGTGCTGGTTTTATAAAAATTATTTTCAAGAAAAATAAAACAACTCTGTCATCTGTATGTCTCCATAAAGACAATATCATAGTCATAGGGCAATTTCCATGCACCCTCACAGTATCTTGTGATATAAGGAGGGAGTGGGGAAACTGAGTCAGGGGTAGAATCAAATTGTTGCTCTAACATGATCCAAGAACACCAAAAGCCCAAGGTCTATTTAATTCATGAATTAATTAATTTTTATGTTTATTTTTTTCGTATGTGCCCCTAGCGGGAACCGAACCTGGAACTCTATGGTCCACAGGCCGATGCTCTAACAGTTAGAGTCTAACCACTGAGCCAAACCGGCCAGGGCAAGGCTTTCATTCTTAAGAGATCCAATCAAGGGGTGGCCTACCCCACTCAACAGCTTCAGATAATCTCAAATGCCAGGAGATGTCATCAGAAGAAATAAAATTCCTAAGCAAACCTTCTTTGCTCCTTCTGAGACACCTGAGAAGATGGGTTTAAGCACATACTTCCTGTTGGGATTTAAGACTGGGCTTTTCTTCTTTATCCTCTTATTTAGAGCTAAAGCACTTCCTTAAAAACAAAATATAAATCTATCAACCTGGCGGTCAAAGAAGAGAAGTATTTGAGAAGACAGAGTTCAAGGAAGAAGTAACTGGAAGGGGGAAATGGGACAATGCATCCTAGGCAGACTGAGGACCCCTCAAAGTGCAGGAGTGCAGAAATAATGTGTTTTCCAAAGAGTTGTTTTTTTTTGTGTGTGTGTGTGAATCCTCACTGGGGGATATTTTTTCCATTAATTTATTTTATTTTATTTTTTCCAGAGACAGTGGAAGGGAGAAGGGGGGAGACACACATACACACACACACACACACACACACACGTCAGTTGGTTGCCTCCCACAAGTGTCCTGACTACAGCCAGGGGATTGAACCTGCAACCCAGGTACATGTCCTTGACCAAAAATCGAACCCGAGACCTTTCAGTTCCAGGGCCCACACTCTAACCACTGAGCCACGGCCAGCCAGGGCACCAATGAGTTTTTTGAAAGTGTCCCTCAAAGCTGTCTACCACCTACCTGCCTGGCACTATTTTACATTTCTTTAAAACCTCAAAGTTCAAAGTAAATAATTGTGAATAAGGGTTAACTCCAATATTTACACAGAGAATGTTTCCTGAGAATCTGACATTTCGGTTAAGGTTGCAATCTTGTCAAAGGTGATCAAATATATCACATTGGAAAACTGTAATCTTGTTTGGAAATCTTCCTTGCGCTCTTGCATCCTGTATGAGTTCTGGCAGAGAACTTGAGTCGAGTACAAAATCAGGAACTTAATTTAAGTAATTCGTACTGAAAAAGAAACTTCTGGCCCGGTACAGGACTTTGAATCTTTGGACTATTAATAATGGAGAGAGCTGTATTTTGAAGTTGGTGAAGCTTTCGTCTATTCTGCTCCCAACTGTTATCTCAACATACACAGGGTGTCCGTGAAATCCAGAAACAAAGAATAGGCATAAGGTCACCACGACATCTTCAATCTGCAAGAACTAGACTGCGGTGGAATAGAGTGTCATGGAATAAAAGGATGAAACAAAGTAAAGCAGTTTAATAAAATAAAGTCAATTAAATAACACTGTGCAGATTCCCAGACTTTATGGAAGTCCTCTACTGAACTCGTGGGGTGCCTTGGGCCAACTGAGTAGCTGGATGAAATGGGAAACTCCACGCAGGAAGTGCTGCTGCTGCTAATTAAGGAATGTGGAACCCTTCCTTCTGAGTCAGCTGGGCGGTATGTGGAACTGTGTGTTGCTTGCCGCTTGCATGATGATTGCATGAAACTTCAGAAAGAAAACCAGAATATCTTGCCACTTAACACTTAAGAGGCAAGATGTGGGGTGTGTGTGTGTGTGTTTAAATGGTTCCTAATCTTTAAAATGGCTCTTTGCAGCTGGCCTTTTTATCAGCTGATTATATTTACAGCATCATCTCCCCGGCTGGGACAGCACTGCTAACCCATGGACAGGATATGGACCACTTACGGGCTCACATTTTCAGGTACACAGCCTTATCACAGCCCTCTGAGGATTCACTACTATGACACAGCAATAAAAACATCTCTGGGGGCCTGGCAGCTCTTATTTAAAATTTTTTTTTTGGAGGAAAAAAAAAAATCAATGTTGATTTCTTTTATTTCAAATGTAATACAGGCATATTATTACAAATTATTTTCTTGAAAACAATTCAAGAAAACTAGGAGATAGGAAAAGGTGGTGCAGATCTCATAGTCAAAAAACAACCATTTAAAAAATGTTTATATATGGCCACTGGCCATATTTGTCTATTTTAAAAATATATATAAAATTTTGAAATGTATGCAAACATAGAATAATAAATAAGTAAATAAATAAATAATAAAATGAACCCTTTATCCCCAACACCCAGTTCTGCAGTTTCAAGATGTTAAGCACATTTGTCTCAATTCTTCAGTTTTCTAAATTTCCTAAAGTATTACAAATTCCAACACATCCTGTCATTCTCCTAAATATATGTCTTCAATATATGTCTCTAAATATCTAGGTACATTTTTTTCTAATGACCCACAACGCCACTATCACAGCTCATGAATTAACAGTAAGTTCTCAGTATCACATAATGTACTGTCCATACTAAAATTTCCCCAGTAAGAACACCAATTTAAAACATGTATGTATACCTCTACCCTCCCTTTTTGTTTACTAATAAATAAAAAAAAAAAATTACAGTTTGTTAAAAAGACAGTCGTGCATTTTGACTTTTTTTTTTTTTTCTCCAGCTTGCTATTATAACTATTTCCCAATGGCATATTTTCAAAACTTTCTAATTGCGAAATGGCTGTGTGCAAGAGAGTGTGTGTATGTGTGTGGGGGGTGGGTTAGGCTGGGTGATTAATTATTCCTCGGTAGGTCTGCTTCCACGTATATATGGAGAGGGTGTGTTTTTCTTCCTCTTCGAGTCAACTTGCTGCCGCCGAGTATCTTTGTTCCCAACACCTTTCCCTTGGTCAGGGCTATTTCCTTAGGATCCATTCCAGGAGTGTTATTACTGCCCAAATGTACGAACATGGCCAGGCCCTTGACTTGTGTCCCTGACTTGTTTACAAAAGGACTGTACCAATTTACACTTCCACTTACAAAGGATGAGAGCGCCTCTATTAAAATGCTCCCAGGCAGCCCTTTCCAGAGCTCTTACAGAAATCATTGGCTGGGGCTGCCTTGTGTTTGTAACCATCTCAGAATAAATAAATACACATTTTCTCTCCCTCTCTCTCTCTCTAGCTCGGTCTGAAAACACGGCATGCGCAGCCTGCCCAACAACCACAAACTAACTTTGATTAGAAGAGAAACCGGTCTATTTGAAAACGTGGTAATGAGATAGTTTCCACCCCCCGGGAAGCCCAGTCCTGGAGGGGGAGGGGCGCCTGCGGTCCTTCTAGCCTCTCTTCCCATCCTCAAGAAGGTAGAAATGAACAGGTCAGCGTTCTCTTCCTTTCCTTTACGATTTTGGGGTCTTTGTTTATTTGTATTTATTTTTCTCTCCCTTGGTGTAGAGCTGGGTATTGTACTTGTTTCCATCTGGCTGGGTTGAGGATGCAAGAATACGGTTGAAAACTAGCAGCAAAGTTTGGTGGCGCTTCCTGTGGGCGCAGCCCCGCAGTACCGGGTAACAGAGGATTAAGGCAGAGCCATTTTAGCTGCGAGTCCAAATTCTACTTTGTTTCCTTGGGGACACGTTGTTCTTATGTGTTGACTTCACATAAAATAGTCTCAGGAACTGTGTATTTCGGTGCATAGCATGCTTATTTTCTTGAGCGAATAGAGCATATCAGTTACCAAGTCCTTGTAGAAAATTCAGTGGTATGGGTTTGGAGAAATTTATGTGACAGATTTGTGTGTGTGTGTGTGTGTGTGGTTTGGAGGCAGGGAGAAAGAAAAACTATCTTCATTGCTGTCGTGTTTATGGGGGAGGAAAAAAAAAGGAACTTGATAAGAAACTACTTAGCAAGATGGTCTTTACATCTGAATCTTTATTTTTTTTTTTCCTTCTCTCTCTCTTTTTGGAAAAAGTTCAGGAAAGACAGTCCTAGTATCTTAGGTTTTTCATTGTTTCCACTCCACTCAATGAGGCTGAAGTCGTGTTTCTTAAAGCAAATGGGGAAAAAATGTAATCTCTTAAAATATTTTTAAGAGGACATGCAGGTTTGGTATTTGTAAAAAAAAAAAAAAATCTATATCTATCTATCTATCTATCTATCTATCTATCTATATTACACATATATATGTGTGTTTGTGTATATCTATATTTATATCTATCTATCTATCTATCTATCATCAACAAAATGTGCTAACCACATTTTTTAAAAAAGTTGTCAAAGAAGCCAGAGGGATTTAGTTAGGGCTGTTTTTGAGCAGGGACACATTCAGGAAGGAGAATGGCTAATGTCATTTGGGCTGATGTTTATGGAGTGATCACCATGGTCCAGGCAGTTTTAAGATTTCATCACAGTTAACTCATTTAATATTCAAAAGCCCGATATTCAAAAGTTTTAGTCCCACTTTACAGGTGAGGCGGAGAGGTGAGGTCCCCTGGGCTCAGGGCTGCCAGCCGCCAGCATTTGGATTCAGGCAGGTTCTGAGGCCGCAGTTGGTTCAGTTCTGGTTTCTGGGAAAACCCGCTGTGTAGTGTTGGGAGGTGCTGGGCAGAAAGAAGCCCTAGAGCTGTTAGTGGAGTGCTGAGGTGGGGGGCCTTTCGGTCAACTACTGAAATGTGCGTCTCGACTTAAGATTTTTTTGGTCACTTGATGCCTATTAAGGGTGTGGCTCTGACTTTAATCTCTTCTTCAGCATTTTCCCCAAATCCCAAAATCCTCTTTGAGGCGTGGCTGGAGAGGGCACACTTTATATCCCGGAGACTGCGACTGATCCGTTCCACTCCGTCCCTGCCTGGAGTCTCCGTCTCGCCTGGAGAAGATGCCCAGGGGGCCCCCGCAGGCAGGTTGTCTTCCAGCGCCCTGAGGATCGTCTCCATTGGTGGGTGTCACTGGTGCTTGAGAGTTATTCAGGTTCTGGGGCGGACAAATCTGGGTCCAAATCTGACTGTCTCTCTTACAATGTAAACATACTCGCCCCTCTTTCCCCGCCCAGGAGTAAGTATCTGGCTGAGCAGGCCTTCAGCTTCTGCCCGTGGGCAATGGTCTTCAGGATAATAGTGTCTTGCTATGTGCCAAATTCCCCCTGAGCATTTCACAAGTGAGGACTTGTTTATTCCAAATAAGCTTATCAGCGAATACTCTTAACCTCCATCTGTAACATGGGGACACAGAGGCAAAGGGAGCTCAAGGGAGGTGGCAGAGGCTGGAAGCCCAGAGTCCTGGTTTGAACCCAGAAAGCCAGGTCTAAGAGCTCGCTACCTGTATCACGGCCGGCTCAGGTGAAGCTTTCTTTCTTTCTTTTTTTTAATCCTCACCCAAGGAATTTTTGCACTTATCTTGAGATAGAGCAGGAGGGAGAGAGGGAGGAAGAGAGAGAGAAACATCGATGTGAGAGAGACACATCGAGTAGTTGCCACCCACACGACCCCAACTGGGGCCAGGGACAAACTGCAACCGAGGTACGTGCCCTTAGTGGGAACCGAACCCGAAACTCTCTGGTCTGCGGGCCAATGCTGTAACCACTGAGCAAAACCGGCCCGGGCTCAGGTGAAGCTTTCTAATCTGGGTGATGGTATTGACTTTGCCTGGGTATCCAGAAATGGCGTATGAAATGTGCTTGGCCTATAATAAGTGGGTAATCAATGATAGCTCTTTTATTCTCTATTCTTCTAAAGCCAAGGTCAACCACTTAGTATAGACAAGAATGGCCTGAGTTAGCATGGGCTATTGGATCAGGCTAGAATTCCACTTTATTCTTGTTGTAGGACCTCGAGGAAGTCAGAGCAGTTAGTAAGTCAGAAAGAGGGTTAACCTCTGGTGGCTGAGTTTCCTCATCTGCCCACCAAATTACATACACAGGCGATTAGGAGAACTAAATACCACCATGATCCGATACATTGCATATGGGGCTAAGACTCAGACACATAGCAGGGGCTCAGGAAAGTGTATTATTTTCCCCTTTCTTACCTTTATCTCTTCTTACTATTACCATTATCATTGTTGTTGTTGTAAAAGTAACCTGAAAATATGAATACACTTAAAAATCTGAATTTCAGCAGAGGAGACTTACCTGCATTACTCTTTTAGGAGTACGCTTGGTCTTATCAGTCTGTTTAATAAGCCTCTTAATATCGGGCCAGGTCATTATTCCTCTGCTCATACCATTCAGTGACTCTCAGTTTATTCATAGTTAAATGTGGTCTTTTTTTTTTTTGGTCCTTTTATTTGTATTTTATTATTATTATTATTTTATTGAGTTTATTGGGGTGACACCGGTTAATAAAATTATACAGGTTTCAATTCTATAGGTGTACAGTTCTATAATATCATCTGTATATTGTATTGTGTGTTCACTATCCCAAGTCAGGTCGCGTTCTGTCACCATTTATCCCCCCTTTATCCTCTCCTACCCACCTCGACACCCCCCTTAAATCTATTCTTTGCAATGACCCACCAACCCCGGCTTAATTTTCTGACTTGTCCCCTCTTCGTACTCCACACAAGCCACAGTGCCCGGCTGGCATCCTTGCTGTTCCTTGAGCCACTGGGCACATTGCCTTGAGGTCTTTGAGTGCCAGTCCCTTAGCCTCAAATGCCCTTTCCCCAGAACTCCGCATGGCTCCCACTGTTGCCCCCTTCGGATCTTCACTCGGCGGTCTTCACCTGTGGTCTTCTTGGGCTAGCCTATTTAACATCACCCCACCTACCCCCTGCACTCCCTCGACTCAGGTAAATAACAGCACTGATTCTTCAGCCATGTACCCCAAGGAACCTAAGGCGGGAGTTCTCCAGAGCATCATCACTGAACACACCATAAGATTCAGTGCGCTCTGTTGTGTCTGTCAGGACAGGCATGTGATAGGTTTGCTCTCCTTCTGCAGCCCCAGCACCCGGAGCAGTGGCTGATGCATGGTAGGGCCTTACTCCATTCTTGGTGCGTGAGAAAGTGAATGAATGGGGGAAGGAGTCCAGGGAGCATGTTTATTTAAACAGAACAGCTCTGGATGGGGACACTTCCCAGAGCGGCCATACTGCACAGCGTGGAGGAAACGGGCCCTCCCTTTGAGGGGCCTGCGATCCGCTCAGCTGGTGAGACAGCCCCACATCCAGCTCGAGCCAGAGCCCGGCAAATGCCGTGAAGGAGACGCTGAACGAAGGGTGACTGAACAAAGTGACAGTGGTGGCGTTGGAGTGGGCCCTGGGGGGGGGTAGGATGGGTGCAGATTGCGTTTGGCGTGTACAGGGCACGTGGTTTGGGGAGATTCCGTGTCAGGATGGGTCAGGCAGCAAGGGGATGGTAAGCAGAGAATGGTTTCTCGAGTGTTTATCAGAAGGAAGTATATGGAAATCCTAACTGTTTTAGTCACTTTTTTTTTTTTTTTTTAATCCTCATCCGAGGACATTTTTCCATTTTTTGTACAGACAGAGTGGGAGGGAGAGAGAGGAAGAGAAGGAGAGGGAAACATCGATGTGAAAGGGACATATCGAGTGGCTGCCACCCGCACGACCAACCAGGGCCGGGGACAAACTGCAACCAAGGTACGTGCCCTTAGCAGGAACCGAACCCGGGTCTGTCCGGACCGCAGGCGGACGCTCTAACCGCTGAGCCAAACAGGCCAGGGCTATTCACTATTTTTTATTCCCCAGTTTGGGATTCTATGTTAATTTTTTTTTGATTTTTATTTCTTGAGTTTAATGTGTTTTAGAGAGAGAGAGAGAAGGAGGGAGAGAGAGAGAGAGAGGGAGAGAGGGAGAGAGGGAGAGAAGCATCAATTTATTGTTTCACTTATCTATTCTTTCATTGGTTGATTTTTGTATGTACCCAGACCGGGGATGGAACCCACAACCTGGCACCTTGGTGTGTTGGGAGATGGTCCAACCAACTGAGATACTCTGCCAGGAACCTCTGTGCAAGAATCAGCAGCCTGGGTGGGGCCTCCACTGCCTCTTCCTCTCTTGGAGGCCTGCCCCTCAGTGGGAGTCTATGTTAATAGGCAACTAAGTTTTGCCCTGGCCAGTGTTATCCACGGTTAGAGTGTCAGCCACCAGACTGAAGGGTCTTGGGTTCAGTTCCTTATCAAGGGTATGTGTCTGGGTTGCAGGTTGATCTCCAGGCCTGCAGTGTTTCTCTCTGTCTCTCTCTCTCTTGCTCTCTCTTCCTCTTCCCCCTCCCTCCCTCCCTTCCACTCTCTCTAAAAATCAATAAAAACATTAAAAAAAAAATAGGCAACTAAATTTTAATTATACAGGTAGGAAAAAGATCGAAATATTTAGCCACCACTAAACGGTCCTGGATCCTTGCTCACATTTGAGAATTAATCACTTTTGGTAAGGGTTTTCCCAACTTCCATGTATTTGCATATTTCTTTCTTCCTTCTTTCTTATTTACTTATTTAATTGTAACTGACATAACATTATATTAATGTCAGGTATGCAATATTATTTGATATTTGTATGTATTATGAAATGATCAGCATATATATTTAAATCTGTGTATATAAACATAAGTATATATTATATGCACAGTGTATGTGTATACACATTATACACATACATACTTATATATTATATACACATATTTGCTTTAGAAAATATTTTACAGTGTGTGTCTTTAAACAAAAATGGCATACCTTTTTAAAGCTTGAATCTTTTTAGAATTCTTTATCCCACAGTGTCTTGGTGACTTAGCCACGTGAGTACATGTGGCCCTACTTCATTCGTCCCAACTGCTGTCTCTATTCTTAAATTTGGGTAGGTCATAGTTTATGTGGCCATTTTCTTTTTTTTTTTAATCCTCACCGGAGGATATTTTTCCATTGATTTTCAGATAGAGAGGGAGGGAGAGAGGGAGAGAGAGAGAGAGAGAAACATCAGTGTGAGAGGAACACATTGACTGGCTGCCTCCCACACGACCCCAATCAGGGCCGGGGATCGAACCGCAACCAAGGTACATGCCCTTGACCCGAATCGAACCCATGACTCTTTGGTCCACGGGCTGATGCTCCGACCATTGAGCCAAACCTGCCAGGGCTGTGGCCATTTTTCTTTTGATGGACATATAGGTTGTTTCTAATTTTTCACTATTGTAAACTGCTGCAGCGACCATCCTGGCGTACCCGAGGGATTATTTATGACCCTAGAGGAAGTCTTATAATTATATGCTTTTCTATTGATTTACGCTTTAACGTGTTTAATGCCGAGTTTGTCTGTTAAAGCGTAAGCTCCGGGAGGGCAGAAATGCAATTTGCTTTGTACCTCACTCTTCAGTTACTGCCTTGGCCACGGGCTCGAGACCAAGTGTCCTCGGGAACTGGAATGACTCGGCTGCCGCCTTGGCTGGGGCCACGGGGTGCTGTGGCATCCTTCGAGAGGGAACAGTGACGGACTTGGGTCCGGCGTGAGGTGTTTGCACAGGGCAGTAGCAGCTGCTCATGAGTGGGCTTTATGAAAAAGTGTTCTGGGCTACGAGGAAGACGGGTTCAGGAGGCCGGGTGATGAGACTCTTGTAAGGATCGGAAGGAACAAGGAACAAGGGACAGAAAGGAAAGGGTGCGTGTGAGAGCTGCTGGGGTGGTGGTGTCTGTGCGGGGCACGCATTGAGCAGCTCTGAGGGGCAGCGGGAAAGGCAGGCAGGCTTGGAGGGTCAGGACTAGTTTAGGACACTCCTTGTGTAAACAAACACTCATTGCCTCCCGGTTCTGTGCAAAGACCCCTCCACGAATTGCTGTCCAGATGTGAGTTTGCCACACCTTTCTCCTGCTCCCTTCGCAGGACAGCTGCAGTCTGTTGGGGAAGATGGGCAAGTCCACGGGTACCCCAGGAATGCAGGGGAGGGACTGAGGTGGGAGGGCGACCAGGTGCACTCTGGCTGTTCTGGAA